CCTTGCCTTCCTTCTTTCCTTCCTCCCTCCCTCCCTCCCTTGACCCTCCCTTCCTTTCTTTCTTTTTTTAATCTTCTTTGTCTTTTTGAGAAAAGGTCTTGCTATGCAGTTCAGGCTGGCCTGAGCTCACTCTGCAGCCCAGACTGGTCTCTAACTAGCAATCATCCTCTTGCCTCAGCCTCCCAAATGCTGGGATTATAGGCATGCACCACCACACCCAACATCAGAAGTTGTCAGTGAAGAAATATAATGCACAATATTTGGAAACAATTCATTGAAAGTTATACCAAATACGTTTATATGTACAAATAAATGGGGAGCTATTTCATCATATTATTTGCATATTTCATGGAAGTTTTATAAAAATTAATTTATTTTATGTATTTTTAAAATGAATCTTCATTTATTTAAATTTACTAATTTTTATATATCCTGTGATAAAGTCATGAAGACAAATAATTAGTTTATATCCATATATGCTCTGTATGACAGTATTACAGCATATTAATTTTTAATGAATATAGTCAAACAAATTGATTATAATATTGCAGATAATTCCAGGTAATACCACAACATAGGTTTGGATATATTTATATTTTAAAATGACTACAATATTTTCCCTCATCCATAGATGATTAGTATATATTTGAAGGAGGAGGCATTTTCCTTTTTATCACAAGAAGAAATCTATTTTCTTTCTTTTTTTGTTGTTTTTTTTTGTTTTTTCTCCCGGTACTGGGAATTGAACTAACGACCTCGCACTTGCCAGGCAAACGCTGTGCCGCTGAGCTAAATCCCCAGCCCCTAGAAATCTATTTTCTGTCTCAAGCTTCTCATGTAATATAGTATGAGGGTATCTTAATAGTCTGTTTATATCTGCAATCATCCCCTTGCACGGTACCAACAGTAACTGGCTTTAGAAAAACACAATATTTAGGAAGATTTAAGCAAACTAAGTATGTTTAGTTGTTATAGAACAACTTTGTGAGAAAGAAATGTCTACCTAGTTTATACTATGATTTATACTGTAGTTAAATTCTATATCCAATTTCCTCTTTAGAGATTCACTTTTACTTTTTTGAAAGAATTATTTTATTGATTTGGTGACTGTCAGCCTCTTAGAGCTGTATCAAATTAGGCAATAAATACGGTTTCCAAAGATGCGGAACAAATGAACATAAAACACAGACAGCACAAAGGGTATCTCCCACCATTCCCAAGTTCACGTGGACACTTTAAAGTGAGAGGAACTATCTGAAGATGGTTGGAGACTGCTGGGGTCTTGATCGTGTTGCCTGGGAACACTCACTTGCAGGACTTGTGTCTGCCGTGTTCACTGAACTCTCAGATTTCACTCCTAAAGCTCACCCTCTAAATTTGTCAAGTATATTATTATTTTCACATGCTGTACTCTATCCACTGTCTTTGGAACTGAAAGACGTCTTTCTACTTATAACATCTGATTTTGCTGGTGGTATTTCCTTTACAAAATATAGTCATCCTCTCTGACAATGAAATAAACAATGTCAGGTAGTGGCACTTTTTTTTCCCTAACGAAGAGTAAATAGACTAAAATTTGTTCATGACTTGGATGGGAGAAGAAAAGAGTAATGTAAATACTCTTCTGAGGGAAGAAGTTAATGGAGAAACAAAAATGAACTTTAAGTGGTTGCTTCTGTTATTGAGCAGAGAAAGCTTACCACAGAGATGCGAGGACTAAGGCTCAAAACATGTGACCATTTCCATTAAACCAGCAGAGAAGGAGGAAGACACACATTCCTTCAGCATGTGTATCGTCATGTCACATTGTACATACAGTCTCCTGCTTAGAATCTTACTTAATTGGTTCTGGTTTTTTTTTTTTTTTTTTTTTTTTTTTTTGGTTTTTTCTCCGGTACCAGGAACCAAACTCACGACCTTGCGCTTGCCAGGCAGGCGCTTTGCCGCTGAGCTAAATCCCCAGCCCCTTAATTGGTTCTGATTACGTGACAAATAAGTGATGCAACAAATGGGGGCCTCCGGTGAAATGACTACAGATTCATGAATGCAGTACCCTACCTCCTCTGTCTCCAAAAGGATATTTAGGCTACTAGTTCTCACCATGAGATTGAAGTGCTGATCCGGGGTTCCTTGAACACCTTTCAGGAATGTCATGATGTCATGTTATTTTACTTAGAACATTAAAGTATTTTGGTTTTTTTCTCTCTTTCTCTTCCCTTTCTTTCTCTCATGAGAGTTGAGAAGCTGTGGGATAGGCAAATACTGCTGCTAGTAATATACCTACTGCATCACAGAAACTAGATAGAGACCAGCCCAACAAAACATGTTGAATGATTAATGTGTTAGTAATGGGTACCATGACAGATTTACAGTGAGACAACTATTTAGAAAGACATTTCATTAAAACTTAAATGAATGTGTTTTACCTATTCATAAAAGGAGGTGAGTGAAATTCATTCTGAGTGTTTCAAATCTCTTCATTCCATGTCAGAAACCTATCTTTGCTGGCACATAAATTGGGTTTGTTTTTAATTTGCAGCTTACATATCTTTCAGTAGCAAAGGAACCGCTTTTTGAACAGGTTGAGTACTTCTGCTTGTATGACTTATAGTTACTGAAAATCTGCTGGTTTTCATTTCATATTCCTTCAGGACATGAATGAAGTTTCCAGCTTTATTCAAGGTTCCCGGAATGGGTGCAATGACAACAAATTGAATTATCCACCTTTTATGCCCGGTAAAGATTTGTTATTTAATTATAATTAATTGAGAATAGCTGTCTTGTCAACCAGTAAATTCTAACATGTACTTCGAAACCACAATCTGTAATATAATTTTTAAACGTTGAAATCAGTATTTTTTCCTTTCAAGCAAATTATTTCTTGCCTAGAATTATAGATAAGCAAACCACGAGAAAGGTTTAAAATGAATCTATGGATGTAGGATGCATGCTACAGATGGAAATATTTTCATGTACACATTAAATGCTGTTTTTAAAGAATCTCTTTCTTTTTAATAAGTTAGAATATATTAAAGTTAGAATATATTAGTGCTTACTCATGTAAGTAGAATGCTAACAATTTTTCCAAACTTTATGCAAGTGGCGTGTAAGGACCTGATTTGAAATCAAGCAATTGTACCTTCCTTATTTTTTTGAAATATGGTATTCTATGCTCCATCATGAAAATGGACTCACATACTAAAAGGGACACACACACCTGTTAAGAAATGTTCCTTATGTATTTTCTTCAAGGCATTTTGGACAAGCTTTTGTACTCCAAGACCATCTGCATGGATGCAGTGCAGCACTGGGGCAGACACTACGACGTACACAGCCTGTACGGGTACAGCATGGCGATAGCCACGGAGAGGTGCGTTCAGCTTTATTCACAATTACTTTATGTTTAGATGGAAAATAGCAAATTAGAAAAGATGAGTGCTCTGCTAAAACTTCATGCCATTTTTAAGAAATTGTTTGTTACTAATATTCATAAACTTGAAACAGTTATCAAAAATTACATGGTATATGTATTTAACAAGAAGTGTATTAATTAATACATTTAAATTGTTCTTCACACTTTTAACACAATTTGCCATGACTGAATATAACTGTGTTCTGATCAGGAAATTCCCAGCTGGGCTAAGAAAATGATGCTCTACAGCAGGTCTTTGACTATTTGTCAAAAACAGGTGTTGCAATTAAAATGTGGATTGCAGTTAGTAGACTGACAATGCTGTAATGAGTATGATACTTGTCTATAAAAAGGAATGTGATACAAAATAAAAGTAGGGGATCATCATATGTTGATTATCTGTTTATTTCTGAAGTACTGCGTAAGATTCTATGACATAATTGTTAATGAATCTCAACGTATGCTCATTAAAATGTGTTATTTTCTCCTAATTATGTGACTATGATCAAGTGTTAATACAAATCTAAGCTTCTCTGCTCTCAAATTACACGTGACAGCAAAAGTTTTGTTCACTCCAGACTGTTACATTGTTTTTCAACCAGTATAATATTCCACATTATATTTAGTCAATAATTTTAGGAAAGAAAAAAAAGAACACTCTGGTTTATTATGATAGAGCCTATAATACAAAAAAGACACTGAGAATATATTTTTAAGAAAATAGTTTGGATGACATCATCTATTAAATTACATTTTTGTAATTTTTATTCATAATTTCCCATTAGTGGAAAATTACCAACACTAGGTACCAAGAGAGGTAAGCTGAATAATTTTAAGAGTTGTGGATAGTGCTTTAACTTCCAGAAACTAACACTATACAAAAAGTAAATTTTCTAGATGTGCAAGTTTTTTCCATCATTGTTTTCTAGTATTTAAAAATATAGGTTAAAGAATAACTAGTCATTGTATGAAAAGATATATACTGAGTGTAAGTTCAGATTATAGATACTGTATTTATGAAAGTATTTCAGTGGGCATGAGCCATATATTTCCAATGCAAAGGTTGAGCAGATTTCATGTAATTTTAATTTGGTAAAACATGATTGAAATAATTGAAATATCTCAGTAATATCTAAGGAATTTCCTTTCTGTATGATCAATTAGAATTATTATTCTATAACATAAATAGTAATATTATTCTATAGCATAAATAATGAAGTATAAAATTGATATAAAATTTTGGTAGAGTAATTCTAAATGTGACTTAGCTCTGGGAATAACTAAATAGATATTTGAAATTAAGATTTTTAATTAAAAATATCAATGTATTTTAAAGTAAATCTAATCTATACAATTGGTTGTATTTTAGAGCCATACGAAGTGTATACACCAATAAGAGAAGCTTCATTCTCACTCGCTCAACTTTTGCCGGAAGTGGCAGGCATGCTGCACACTGGTTGGGAGACAATACTGCCTCCTGGGAGCAGATGGAATGGTCCATCACCGGAATGCTGGAGTTTGGTTTGTTCGGAATGCCTCTGGTGAGTCTGTTTAAGGCATATAAACAACAAGCACACCTTTCCTTTCCGTTCTGAATGCTGAATTTCTAAGTCGAGGCCTCAGGCATGCTGGGAAGCATTCTGCCGCTGGGCTACAGGCTCCGCTGTACCGCACAATGCTTCCTGTTCTGTTGTGTCAGTATGGCCTGTGCGGTTGTGAGTGGGCCCAGAGCAGGAGAAGGTTCTGAAACAGGTGCAGCTTCTGTTCAGATTCCGCCTTGTGGGCGGTAAGACCCGGGAGATCCAGTGGTACTTGAAGGGTCTGTGGCAGACAGGAAGGCCAAGCAATGTGCAAAGTGACAGTGAAGAGAAGAAAGCAAAGTAATGCGGTTACAGGCAAGGATGGACTGACAGTTGGAAAAAGAGAAATTGAATTGCAGTGTGTAAGAATAAAATAAAGAGGTTACAAGTAAAGCTCAGGAGCTGGGGGATGAATTGCAAGCACTTCATATAAAGTTGAGAACTTCAGCAGTACAGGTAATAAAACCTTTCCTGCTTAGGTGGGAGCAGATATCTGTGGATTTGTGGCTGACACTACAGAAGAGCTTTGCAGAAGGTGGATGCAGCTCGGGGCATTTTATCCGTTTTCTAGGAATCACAATGCTGAAGGGTACCAGGTGAGTGACGCCTGTTCTCCGTGTTTATAAAAACACAACCATAGATTTACTATGTAGTTGAATTTGCATCTATAAAATATATTATCAGGAACATTAGATCATAATGTGTAAGTAATTGTTGAAAGTCTTTTTCTCGGTGCCTAAATGTGTTTTAAATATAAAGAGGGAAAATATTACATTTAAAACTAAACCATACACAAGTTTGTCAAATTACTACTATTTTAAGTTAAAGCTAAAGCATTTTGTGTATGAAATTGCTGGATTCTAATAATGTGAATTCCCATGAACTCTTCTTTAATGAAATATAATATACTACCTAATATTTCCAGGTCTTTTCCTCTTTTAAGAAAAAAAATGAAAACACTTGCAAAACAATTTGAATCCAAAATATTCCTATAATAAGCAAAATTAAAATGAATAGGTCAATGTAAAATGAAACTAGTACTCTCAAAACATGTCTGACCTGGTAGAGGCAGAAGTACAGGGAAATACACTACAGAGCTATTCAACCAGCCTTAAATTCAGCACGTTGTGGGCTCTTCTAGGCTTTTTGGGGTAGTGCTGGTGTAGCCTAGGGAGCTCTACCACTGATCTACATCCCCAGACATCGTCATCATCAACATCACTATCATCATCATCATCATCATCATCATCGTCGTCATCATTTTGAAGCAGATCTCCCAAAGGCAGCACTTGGACTTGTGATCCTCTTCCTCAGCCTCCCTAACTATTTGCATGAGTTTTTAGGGGGAATGGTAAAATTTAATTAAACCAGGAAGTCAGTGAAGTACATCTTGGCTAAGAAATTATTCAGTGCCCATCCACTACAAAGCCGTAGTTCTGTTTGGAAAGAAGACAGCTTTTCAGCTCAGGTTGGAAGCGGGCACATAGAACAAAATTAAAGAAGCAAAACGATTGGAGGTTAGTCACTTCGCAGTCCACCCAGATGACACTTCTGAGCAGGATCTGCGTAAGAGATCCTGATACAAATTGTATTACATATTTTCTGTTTCTCTCAGTTCTTCACAAAGCATCGGGCACAACAGGTCTAGTAGGCTAGACAGTCATTGGAGAAACACTTGGGAAAGATAAAGAGGAAGGAGCCCTGGAAAGCAGTGCCAGCCCTGTAACCTCGGTTCAGGTCTCCACCTTACAAAGCCGAGAAGGAAAGGCAGTTTGGAAGGGAGAATCACCACACATTGCACCACAGGCTACTTTCACAGCGGGTCTGTTGGGTAAATAGAGGAGTTTTTTCAAGACAGAGTTAAGTACTGGAGAGTCCTACAGTTTTGGAAAAGCCTCGGCATTGTATTCCCACCATTCTCGTTTAATGGCTGGTAGCCAAAGGGAAATGAGATTTCAGCGTAAGCATAAAACTGGCTCCAGGGAGGCAGTGGCTATTGCCCTCAGTAAATTTTATGACCCATCCTACCACAGATGGTCTACATAGGGTTTCTCACTGCAGTGCATATTGCTTGAGGACGTCAGTTTTTCTAGCTGGTTAGTTGAGCTACTGGGCTTAGTAAGAATGCCGTACTCAGGGCTAAATCTGGGAACCAGCCAGCCAGCTCTGCTTACTGGGTCTGGGGCCAGTCAACTAACTGGTTCTAATGATAACAGAGCGATGAGACGGAAAATTGTCAAGTGCGCATATTTTAAGTCTTTCCGTGAACGTGTCTCATGTACTGACCTCCCAGTGTCCAAAGGCTGGTACTTGGCTGAGAACGAAGTCACACACCGTATGGGTGTGCTCCACCTTTCCTGTAGAAATCGAAGTTACACAGCAAAGGCTGTGAGTCAGGGAGCATGGAAAAGTGCAGCCAGTGATTCATTCGATCACACTGAACAGGGGAAATCCTCTACTTTGTTAACTTGCTAAATCTTTTCTAATTGTGCACTGAAATGAGAAGTGTTTCCTTAAGTAAAGTTTTGTAACATATGACTGAATGGAAACACAAAAGCTGGAAACACTCATACATTCATGAAGAAACGGGGAATTTTAACTTTGTAGGCAAGCACACATTTAGACAATTGACTTTCAAACGAACTAAAAATGTATCTATTTTAATTTCCATTCTTATTTTAGCTTTCTTACTGTAGTATCTCTTTTTATCCCATAGCATCAGGATCCTGCATTTTTTGGACAAGATTCACTGTTGGTGAAGTCCTCGCGGCACTACTTATTGATTCGCTATACCTTGCTACCTTTCCTCTACACCTTGTTTTACAAAGCGCATGTGAGCGGAGAAACAGTAGCAAGACCATTTCTCCACGAGTGAGTGCTGCACAGAAGAGTTACGCGTTAAAGTACACTCTGACATGTATTTGAAAAGACTATTGGAGATGGCTCAAAATAGGAAGGCTATCTACCCTACATGTGTTTTACACTTAAATAATCTAAAGAATTACACAGCGAGTGTAGTGCGCATAATTTGGTCGATAGACAAAATTAAGAGAGACACGTGAAAATTCAATAGAACTTACAAGAAAAATTGATATAGCACATCAGGGAAATTAAAACAAAACGATTACTCCTACAATTATTGGAAGAATATCAACTACATATTGTGAAATAATCAACTTATACATCGAGTGCAGCACAGTTTTAAAAAAGTGAATTGTGCCTTATCCCTGTGCACTATGATCTGAAAGAACAGAACTTCTTTCCAGAAATGACTCGACAATTCTTTCAAATCTATGTCAAAATGAGAGTGATACAATGAAAAGTTTAAAAGATAGAAAGTAAAATATGAACAATTTTTCTGCTTTATGAACATACCATACAGCAAAACAATAAATAGAATAATTGTTACAGGTTTCTTCTGGGAAAGCTAACAAATAGTTTCTCTCTCATGTGGGCTATAAGGAAAACCATTTTACTTACAAATATGTTAGAGAAGACCCAACGAGAAATTTCCTTGTGAAATTACAGAACAAGAGAATAGACTTGGAGGGCGTGGTGGCACATGTCTGTAATCTCAGCACTCAGAAGGCTGAGGCAGGAGGATCATTGGGAGTTGGAGACCAGCCTGGGCTGCAAAGTGAGCTCAAGGCCAGCCTGAACTACATAGTGAGACCCTGTCTCAAAAAGACCGAGAGAGAGAGAGAGAGAGAGAGAGAGGAAGAGAGAGAGAGATAGTAGAAGAAACAAAGGGACAAAGAGAGGCAGAAGTCAGTTTCCTGAAAGTCACCTGCCCATTTTACTTGAGGCTCTGTGTGTGACATCAAAACTGAAACGTTTATATAGCTTTTCCCTGTCATTTTTTCTATGATAGACTTGCAAAGTGAACTTAGTTGCAATGTTTAAAAATAAATAAAATATTTGCCTCTTAAAAAATAAAAAAAAATCAAATTACCTGTGCTGGATGCTGCTAAGTACAGAACTAAAGTCTTCCTTGCTCCTTCCACTTCCGGCCTTCATGGCTTCCTAGTTCACCCTTGTCTTCTTGAGGCTCAAGTGAGCCCCAGAGTTGTAAGAGGCACTGATTTGAACTGACACATGACAGAAGTAAAATTAGCGTGAATGATAATTCTTAGCGAAAACCTGAAAAGGTAAATCAAAGGATTTGGATATATTAATTTTGTGTTGTTATTTCTCATCTTTATTTTTCTTAGGTTTTATGAGGACACAAACAGCTGGATTGAGGACACTCAGTTTTTGTGGGGTCCTGCACTCCTTATTACTCCAGTTTTGAGACAGGTAGGTTTTACAAATTTGATAAATTTATTTTTTTAAGGTAAACAGTGTAACCAAATTCATGCTTCAATTATGAATCATCGCGGTAATGCATGGTGCTCAATGGACTGTTCCAAGCTGCTAAATGGTTCATCGAATTCTAAAATGGAGAAGATATTTTAAAAATTACAAGAAGAGTAAATACATTTAAGGCTGCCAAATATATTATATGTAATATAAGTTAAAGGAATTGAAAATATTAGTATTCTCCCAGAAAAGATTTTAATAATCAAAATTAAATGTAGTAATACCAAGGAGCTCTTGTTAGGTAGACATAAACATTCAGGGTTTGCTGAGTTTTAAGTAAAAGGGAAATTAAAATCCACTCACTGTCAGACAATATTAGAAAAATAATAGAGTAATTCTATAGTTCCTATATTTAAAATATCCATAAGTCATGGAAATTCATAAAAACCAACATGTTGGGGCCGGGGATACAGCTCAGCAGCACAGCACCTGCCTAGCAAGCGCAAGGTCCCAAGTTTGATTCC